TTAATTTCTTGGCTGCAGTCCCCATCAGTGGTGATCTTGGAGCCCAGGAAAATAAAATCTGTTACTACCTCCATTTCTTCCCCATCTATTTGCCAGGAAGTGAGAGGACCGGATGCCATGATCTTAGTTTTCTTAATGTTGAGTTTCAAGCCAACTTTTGCGCTCTCCTCCTTCACCCGCATCAAGAGGCTCTTTAGTTCCTCTTCACTTTCTGCCATGAGAGTGGTATCATCTGCATATCTGTTGATATTATAGAATATGTAGTCTCCTAAAATCTTGTTAAAAGGGGGAAACCCATTTGAGGTAACTCAGTGTATTAATGTAATCATCCCATTGGTAGCTATGTTTGAAATTCTTAAATCTTAAATGTACCCAAGTAAAACACCTTTAAAAGTATGATGTTTCATTTCTCCAACTGTGTACGTATATATCCTATACTGTACAGTAGCTGAAATTTTCTGGGCAGTGAACAGCAATAATGAGTACAATAGAAACATAGAAACAGGGCGAGTCAGAATGGGTCTCCCGGGCCATCCAGTCTGACCCCCGGCTCCAATACAATGCAATACAGAATAAAACACTCAAACAGCACATTACATTAATATTTAAACATACTTTCAAAACCATATTTTAACTAAATGGCTAAAACCCATCCATACCCGCAAGAATTCACTCTTCTGATCTGAAATCTGCACAGTATACAAGAGGGAAATGAACTATTCTGCAAAGTATTTGGGGGTGTTTATTTCCATGGGTAAATAAAATTCATTACAAAAGACCTTCTGGTGGAGAAGACAACTGCTAGAACTGGTTTGTTGATATGGATTAACACAACTTGCTGAATTCTGGCCTCTTCTTGGATTGGCTTTGAATTATCTGGTGTTCACATGAGAATTGCTATGTGGGGTCAGACTAGAGGTCCATCCCTGGTTCACGGTGGCCAAGTACTGGTCCTGGGGACTTTCCCACCAATTGGAATTCAGAGGTTTGTTGCTGGTAAATATTTAACTGTCGTAGTTAATAGTCATTGAAACACCTCTTTTCCATGAGTTCATCTGATTCCCTTTTGAACCCATCTAAACCAGGGTCTTGCCACTGCAGCTTATGGTGGTGAATATACCCAGGCCTCAAAATACTTGGGGCTTCTCCTCTCGCTGCTGCTACTTTAGCCTGCAGAGACGACTGAAACCATCACCCTGTAAGGAACAGAAGCAGGATCAAGGCTTTCCACAGAGGGAAAATGAGAGGCTGGCAGATTTCTGCTGAACCTGAGAAAGCTGAGGCCTCACCCTGTAAGGTCAACCTCTAGGTGTGTATTGATGCCATTTCTGAGAAGGTGGTTTTGTTCTTGGGAGCCAACCAGATGTTTAAGAACTAGTGCCTAAATTGTCTGTTTTCTTCCTCCCTCCCAATCGGATTTTGTTTGTGCCCTCCTGTCCACGGGCAGGAACTGTCTTAATACCGTTTTTTGTGTGCTGGTTTTCTGTCAGAGAAGGAAGATAAAATGCTTTAAGTAAATAGGGCAGGGGCTCTTTAGCCTTCCCCTACCTAGCCCTTCCCAGAGCTGTAGGACTGCACCTCCTCTAATCCCTAGCCAACAAGGCTAATGGCCATGCTAATTTGGGATTATGGGAGCTGTAGTCCAAACTATCTGAACAATGCCAGATTGGGGAAGATTTATTTAGTCACAAGGTTCTGTGGTTCTGCAAGCTCCCCAGCAGTTAACTAATAACTATCCATAACGATCTTCCAGTCTTCTTCGGGACCCAGGGGTCCTTTCATCCAAACACTTGTCCACTTTCCTGAAAATTTAGAGCCTCAACTTTCACCTTGGAAACATGCTCTGCGGTTGGATGCCGAAGTCGGTCTGAATCTTTCGCAGGGCAGAGGCAATTTTCACCTCTGCAGACCCAGTAGTGTTCTCATAATCCTTTGTATCCGGAGGATTCGGGGCAGCAACACTTTGGCTGTGTTGCCCATGTATTCTGTGCAAGCTGCCGTACCGTTGGTGGGCAGCATGTGGACTGCCTTTGGACCCCCCTTCATCCAGCCTGGCTGCCACAGCCCCTCCACAAATATGTTGCATTGGACCTTCTTAAGCCCCCATTGCAATTCTCTGCTAACTTTCTTGGGAAACTGATTTTCCTTCTTTCCTTCCTTCCTGCCTTCGCTGTTTCTATAAATATCAAGGGATAGTGGTGAGCCCCATGGGAACTTCTTTTTTCTTTTTTCCATTTCAAGATTTTGTTGTTTTCTACACTCTAAACAAATAGTTATTCCAAAGACTTCAGACATACTGAATTCACAATCTTATTCTTCCTACACTTACTATATATTTCAGCCCTAATTGAGATTCCATTTCTCTAGCCAATAATAAAAAGTCCCAGGTTTGATAATAGCATGTATCTTCTTTTTCCTTAAGGGATAAAGTCAGTCTGTCCATTTCTGCACAGTCCAATATCTTCTTTAAAATCAAATCTTCAGTCGGTAACTCTTCAATTCCTCCAGTGTTGTGCAAACACAATCCTCGCCGCTGTGATTACATGCAAAGTCAAATATATGCTTTGTTTATCGAAGTCATCAGAGAGAATGCCTAACAGATATACTTCTGGTTTAAATGTTTATTTATTTATTTATTATTTATTAAAACGTTTCTATGCCGCCCCTTGCCGAAGCCTCGGGGCGGCTCGCAGCATAAAATAAAATATAATAAAATACAAAAATAGCAATATAAAATTAACAATATAAAATAAATAAGAATATAAAAGAAGTCGCCCTGGCCAGATAAATAAGCAAATGTTGTTAACAATTAAAATGATGTTTAAATAAAAAGGCCTTCGCTTGGCGCCGAAAAACAAATAACGACAGGTTATTGCAGGTTATTACAGGTCTCTGCAGCATTTCCCCAGGCCATCTATGTATTTTGACCCAGTACTTTTTTGCTTTATCACAAGTCCACCACATATGATAAAAGATACCAGGCTTTTGTTTACCTTTCCAACACCTCTTTGACATATTTGAAAACATTTTAGCTAATCTATTTGGTGACAGATACCATCTGTAAAACATTTTATACAAATTTTCTTTATATGAAGTTGCCAGTGTTATTTTAACATTTCTTTCCCACAGCTTTTGCCATTTCTGCAATTCAATATTATATCTCCATGGGAACTTCTCAGGGTTGTGTGGAAAGGGATCTTCAGTATTCAATATTTTTACATCCCCAATCATGTTCCTCAGGTGTTTTACAAAAGCCCTAAGATAATTTAAATGTATTCAGTAGTGTGAGTTTTCTGGAAAATTTTAAATTTATTTATTTATTTAGGGGACTTCTATGCCGCCCCATTCGCCAAAGCCTCGGGGCGGCTCACAACCATAAATAAATAGAATCCAATAAAACAATATAAATTAACGATATAAATTAAGTCGCCCTGGCCAAAGAATAAAATAAATAAATAATATTAACAATTAAAATAACGTTTGAATAAAAAGGTCTTCGCCTGGCGCCGAAAAACAAATAACGACGGCGCCAGGCGGACCTCTCTGAGGAGCGCATTCCATAAATTGAAAAAAAATTCCAATGGAAATTGGCTTAATTTGCATAGGAAGATTTCTTTTGGTTATATGGGAAACATTTGCAGTCCCAGTGAAGTTCATTTGCATGTGATCATTTGGATAGGAAAAGTTTCAGTTTGTATCAGAAAGCCCTAGATATTTTCACCTACAATTCCCATCATTCATCACCATTAGCTGTGGTTGCTAGAGCTCACGGAAGCCATTGACCAAAACATATGGAGCGCCACACACTACTCACCCCTGTCCTGGAAGCATCTAATTTAGCATTCAGAGTTTTCAAAAATAGCCCATGTTAATTTTTGTCCCTATTCGCTAAAGGTATGTGACCTGAAATGTTAAAATACACTTAGAGGGCCGTCTTATGCATGTTCAGATAACAATAAAAGAAAGAGTCCTACACCGTTCCCAGTTCTGGGAACTGCGGGAACTTTTTCTATATAAACAGGCAGAGGATTGTGCCCTTAATGTGATTTAAATTTTATTTTATGTTGAGATATTCCTTAGAATATTAGTTTAAAAAAGATGATAGCATGTATCACATTTGCATTGTTTAGATATAAGGAGGAAAAACCCAGTGGTTCTGGAAACTAATTTTAGCAACTCAAAGAAATGTGCATGAAAAGCTGACAATCGCTCATCTTTTTCAAAGAGATTATGTCTTTCACTAGGGCTGTTGGGATGCCTTCATTTTTGCTGTCACTATTTATTAGTTAAATTTCACTCAGACACGTGTGTGTGTGTGTGTGTATTAATGTCATTTGTGCATGCTAAAAACTAGCTGAAAATCATTCAGAGCTGAAAAATATTAATTGCAACTTCCAAGCTGCCGAGTTGGTTCAAGATTGTATTTGCAGTCAGCACACATTGATATTTGCAAATGAACTTAACCAGATGAACCTTTTTCGTAGAAAAATAAAGCAGCGGAAAGTGTTCTGTCTCGGAAAATTTTCTAGCCCACATCTGTGAAGGAAATACGAAGATAAAAAAATTTAAAGAAAACCACAGAAGCATAAAAGGATCACAAAATGTCACAGGGTTTAAAGATACCTTAAAAGTTCAGGAGAATGAAAAGGTCTGTGCCTATATCAGGTAGACAATAAATGCCAAGGGAAACTTTTTGATAGCACTTTACCTGCTGCTACCGAGAAGACTTCTCTCTGGTCACCATCCCCCTCATCTCAGAGGGAGGGCTCATGCAGGAGGCCCTTCACAGAAGATCCTAATGTAAAGATAGATCCATAGGTGGTTCTTCATACATTCTAGTTCTAAGTCATGGGGCTACAAAGCTCAAAAACCAGGATTCTGTTTTCCTCTAATAAGAAGTTGGAAGAAGGATGCTGCTGCTTGGTGGGAGGGCAGGGGTCTTGGGAAATCGCAGATTAGAAATATGAAGGGGATCCTCCTGAGAGAGGAGCAACTCTGCACTCATCTGATGCTTCTAGGAGCTGCAGAAGATGCCAGACAAGTCCACAGCTGGCTTTGCCCCTGCTTCTTCTTCTCTACCTCTTGGGAATGAGAAACAGGAGCAAACTGTCCCTTTCTAAGCTCCAGGAGGATGTGTAGTTGTGAGAGGAATCCTTTTTTTCCCAGCCCCTTCCTGCCGCACACCTTGCCGCAGGAATTCTGCTTCCTGCCTCCTCCCAAAACCTCTGGTAGCCTCCAAGCCAAAGTGAGGAGCTTGGGAAGAGGCCACTGAGGGAGCCCAAGTCCCCGCAGGCTGCTTAGGTATTTAGACGGGAAGTTGCCTCTCCATGATTTAGGCTAATGCAGAGAATCGAGACCAGGCTGTTTTTCCTTGAGGAGAGTTACAGCAGAAAAGCAGATGGGGCATTCATGCAATATAGCTTTGATAGCCATTTAACACGTCTAAAAAGCCTACCCTGAAAATTATTTAGGGTAGAATCAGTTTTGTGCAAACAAGAATGAGAAAGAGGCAAAACCTTTTAATTAATTTTGATTAAATTATACTACATGAATCATCAGTACAGCAACATCAAATCTGCACAAGGTTTTATTGAGAATCTTGTTATAGATAAATTGGCAGAGATTTTTCAGCTCTTACTAGGTTAAAAGGAAATAGTATTTCCTAAGTATCTCTTTCTGACAAAGAATTTTAGCACTTTAAAAATAGAGATCCGGTTTTCCCATTCCGCTCTCAACAGGCCATTCAGTGGACGGGAACGCAGTCCCTGGTCAGCTTCCCGATGATAGCATCCCGTTCCAAGATCAGAATGTACTTGTGATGTTCCCCTGTGGAGATAACTTCATCGGTATTATTGTTTGCTGCCTTTAAACCAGGGGCTGCCCCATAAATCTGAATTGTCTATATTATACATTCCTAAGAAATTAAATCATGAGTCATTTGGGAGAAATGACTCTTGATCCTGCTTTTCAGAAAACAGCACCTTACTCAACAATTGCTAATTAAACTGAAGCCTGTGAATTTTTCAGTCATCTGTATATTTCTTGCTAATTTCTTGGTAAGAAAAGCCTTACATTATGAACATAACAAAAGCCCTGCTGGATCAGACCCAGGTCCATCTAGTGCCACACTCTGTACACACAGTGGCAGCCCAGCTGCCCGCAGGATCCCTCCAACAGGATGGGGGCAAGACCCCTTCCTGCCCAAGCCCTCAGCAACTGGGGTATGCAGGCAAGTCACCTCTGGAGAAGGAGGAAGCACCTGGCCAGCAAGGCTAGTAGCCACAGACAGCCGCCTCCTCCATGACCCTTGGTATCAACTCCTTATTCACGGTCACTCTTTATTTGGCATGCACATTGCTGTGGAAAAGGTGCATTAATCATTTCTTACTGGCCTTCCCAGCATTTCGATGAAGCATTTTAAAAATGCTTGACCAGGCCAGTATGTGGCCAGCGGCTCCAGCAGTTTGTTTGCCAACCCGTTTCCCTTTCCTGATAGAGGTTTCTGGTCTGTAGCCTTGCCCCAGTGCAACCAGACGGAATGTTTTGATGTGGCGGAGGATCCTGGAAATGAACTCCTTCCTTCCCCTCCCATTTTAAAAAAAGATTTCTTGGAAGTGCTTTTTTGTGTTTTTGGTTTGTTTTAGTACATATGCCATTCAGGAAAAATTATGAATCAAAAGTTAGGTCACATATGTCAGAGAGTTGGAAAATGGTCCCCTTGTGAGCTCTGCAGAAGCTGGTTTCCAAGGAGTGGCTCCTCATACCTGGAATAATGCCTCATGAGTCAGCAGCAGAGCTGGGGAAGCTTGCCTCAGCTCCTTCTGCAGAACGGGCCACCTTCCCTCCAGGAGGTGTGACTTCCGCAATGGCTAGCATCTGCGTGATCGCCTCCGGGCCATGCTGTTTCGCCATTTAAAATGGCTTCCCATTGCTCCAGGAAACTCCTGGGCTTTTCAAGAAGGGCCTCGGCTTCTCTCAGGCTGTGCCCTGAACTGCAGAAGCCTTCTCTAAACTAGTGCCCATTGGATTTGGTGAGCTGCAACCCCCATTTTCCCCAGCCTGCAGAAACCACACTGGCTGGAGATAATGGGGCTGCGATTCAGCACAACGGGGTTGGGAGCAAAGGACTTCTCTCTGGCCGTTTCATCTGCATTGCTTTCTCGCTTGTAGGGAAGGATGTACACCCTGCTGTCTGGTCTGTACAAGTATATGTTCCGGCGAGACGAATACTGCATCTTGATCCTCGGATTGGACAATGCTGGGAAAACGGTGCGTTCCGTACGTGAACATGGGGAAGGCACTTTTCTTTTCCACCACTACTTTAGCTGTTTTCTTCTTGGGTGTGCTGCCCTGTTCTCCAGGGTGTTGGATTTCAAGAGTTCATCTCATTCCTAATTTAGTTCTGGCAAGCAGGATAAACCCTGTGAGCAATAGTATGCAAACAGTCCTGGGCGAAGTCTTTTTCCCCATTCTTGGCCTGGGTTTCTGAGAATTCCACGCATATTGGCCCTAATGCCTCTTTTGCCATTGAGTATACAAGGGAGGGTCTAGACGTCTACAGATTTTTCTGGGCACACAATTCTTGTAGAAAAATTCTTTGTAGAACAGCATATAACTCGAATTTTTTTCTAGTGAGCATTATGTGCTCTGCTAATTTGGGTCCTGCATTGGTGGTGTTGGCTGCTGGAGCAAGATTTTGCATAGTGACATAGCCTGGATTTCCAGCTTTACTTCATCTCTTTCCTTTCCCCAGAAAACGCTTAGTTTAAAATACCTGGTTTCCTCTCCCTTTCCTCCTCCCACAGACCTTCCTCGAGCAGACGAAAACAAGGTTTAACAGGAATTGCAAAGGGATGAGCTTATCCAAAATCACAACCACCGTGGGTCTGAACAGTAAGTGAATCTCGCCTGTCGAAGGGAATGTCAACATGCCTGGAGCTGCAGGGAAATTTGAAGGTTTCAACCAAGAGCTTTCTAATAAAGCAGAAGTGGGTGATGTTTTTGGTCCCCAGGGCCTCATGCTGTGGCATGAGGCCCTACAAATTCATCTTTGGGCTCTTCCACAACTCAGCACACAGGCAAGGCAAAGCAAGCCTTTCCTGCTGCTGTTTTCATTACCCACCTGATAGTTGCTCAGCGGAGAAGGGCAGGTGAGCACTGCTGGCCACACGAGAACCCTGGGGGGCCACCAGCTTTCTCACAGGCGGCATACGTACCCAATCCGCCACCCCCGGCTTCCTGAACCAGGTGCCCTTCGGATGTGTGGGCTGCACAGATGACTTGCGTCGTAGTCCGACACGTCTGGGGGCCCCCAGTTTGGGAAGGCTGCTCTACCTGTACTCTTGGAGGATGCAAATACCACAGAGAACCATTCTGACTAATGGGAAGGAGAGAAAGTAAATAAAATGCATAATTAACTATTAAAATGTGACAGGAATGGAGGATGTTGCCTTTGTTCCTCTGCAGCTCTTGTTCTTTCCCTCAAGCAGCCATCTCTCGCCTATAACATTGAACATGTGGCTCTTTGATTTCCCCCCATTGAGCCGTTGATTTGATCCTGCCAGTGCTCCACCTCTTGGTTGCCCTCTCTTCTTGTGCCATATTTCAAGTGCTCAGCTGGCCTGCAGCTGCGGTTGTCTTTTCACGTCCGTCATCTACCTAAGAGACACCCCTGCACCTGGCAGGTTCTGGATAGCATTCTGCAGTACCCACATTCACGGCTGTCACAGAGTGGGGTATGACCCGGAGGTTACGTAATTTGCTTGCATGAATCAGAAATACTCCCTGGGGGTGCTGCAGCTTGTAGCAGAAGGCCGCCAATGCCGAGACAGCTGTTTTTTAGAATAAGCTTCTCTGCAGTCGTTGGTCTTCTCATTAAGGAACCCTTGGCAAGCTTCTGAGGAGCCCAAGTCCCCCCGGGACACAATTTCAAAACTGCTGACTTAAAGGAAATGAGGGAATGCCTGTAGTTGTGCTTATTCTAGACAAATGCCATCTCTTCAGCTGATAATTCAGTTGGTCTCAGCTCAGAACAGGTCCAAATTAAATTGTATATCTCTGTCTTCTAGTTGGCACTATAGATGTGGGCAAAGCTAGGCTCATGTTCTGGGATCTTGGAGGACAAGAAGAGCTTCAGTCTCTCTGGGATAAGGTAGGGTTAACAGCTGTGTGTTCAGAAAGCCGTAACTCTTAGTAATGTTTATCATTCATGCACTCACCCATTCATTTTAGCAGGTTGGTTCCCCTTCAGGCCCTCATAGTTGTATTTAGTTCCCACTGAAATCATGACTAACTTGTTCCCATTGAAATCAGCAGGGCAAAGTTCAACTAGCTTAGTCTGTACCCATCCCAAGGTATCTTGTAATGGGTAAGTCTCAGATCCTGTAGGAATATCACCCAGGTATCTGAATGTCTTCTTCCTAAAGTCCCATCTTAGAAGAGTTGGTGTGGATCAGCCTGGAGGCCTATCGAGTCCAGCACTGTGTTCCACAACATCCAACAAGATGCTTATGGAAGCCCACAAGTGGACAGGGATGGCCCAGCCCTCTGCCTCATGGTCCTAGCAACTGGTGTTTCCCACTGGTTTCTTCAGGTCGACAAGGTTCTCTGGCGGTTTGGGGTACCTCAGTCAGACTATTTGTGTGTATGTCAGCACCACAGCACTGCTTATGGGGTGAAATGGTGGCACAGAATCAGAAGATAGGTCACTTACTTCCTCAAGATCAGAAAAAGTTTTCACAGAACAATGCATCGTTTCATGTCTTGTGTCCAAACACTGTTCAAAATACACTATTGTTGATCCTAATAAAAAAGTGCTATTTTACCGCCCACGCAAATGTAGTTCTAATGACTTTGATTTATGAAAAGAGTTGATCACCTCGTTGATGTGTGAGGATTTGAGTCCTCAGCAAGCCTGCACCCTCTTTCCTGCCCCACAGCTTTTTAAGATAAAGGCCATGCACAGATTCACCGGTGGGCCTTGATTCTGTGGCAAGGCACTGGTCTTTCTGGCTCGGCTCCACTTCTCTGAGTGTTACGCAAATATATAGTGATTGCCGGGAACTGAGAAATGCTTTATCCATGTGCTGTGTTTGTGCAGGTTGTTTTAAGGTTGTTACCATATTTTTCAGTCCATAAGATGCCCCCATGTATAGGATGCCCCCCACTTTTCTTACCCAAAATTCAGAAATAAATATTCTAAACACTAAACAGAAGATATTTTTATTTAGTGATTCAGCAATGTTTACATATCAGTATCATGATATTATGCGTCACACTTAGCTCTGAACAAACTACTTTATTCAGCCTCCATTGCATCACTGGTTTCTTCATCACTTTTAGTTTCAAACATACCAGCTTTTCCCACTTCTGTTGCATCAGTGCTGTCTGCTGAGTCACTGTCTATATACATGAGATCATCCTCATAAACTGGTGGCCTTTTCTGTGCTAGCTTTGTTCGTGTTCTCACAGCCAACCCTGCTCTCCTCATGAAACTGAAGCCGCATGTTGCCTTTCCTGTAAAATCAACCATCTTCATTTCACTTCCAAACTTTCTTGCCTGCTGCTGAATAAGCCTGGTTGACACACATGTATTTTTTTGTTTTCTGACATTTTTATGGGCTTAGAACGCTCCAACATTATCACTCCCTGACGCATCTGGGCATTGGCTACACGCTCTCCACAGCCTCAGCTGACGTCAGTTACATAAGGCTCATGATTGGAGGAAACCTGTTGGCTTGTTTCTGCGATCGAAAGTTTCGCTCGCAAGGCTAGTTTGCAGAGAGAAGATATCAGCAGTTTCGCAACCACAGTTCTCCTCTCGCCCCCCCCCCCCGCCCCGTGTATCAGACGCCCCTCCATTTTTAGATCAACATTTTAAAGAAAAAGTATCATCTTATACACAGAAAAATATGGTATTTCTTTTATCACTGTGTTGGTTTTGGTCAATGCAAGCAACTTTGGCAGAAGTAGGGCAGAAATGCGTGTGGGTCCAGTGGGGTTAAGAGTGCTGGGCAGGAACCTGGGCAGTCCAGCTTCTAGTCTCCACTCCGCCATGGAGCTCACTGGGTGACTTGGGGCCAGTCACGGACTCTCAGCCCAGCCTCCCTCGCAGGGTTGCTGTGACAATAAAAGGGAGACAAGAACCTTGTAAGCCCTCCTGGCTTCCTTGCAAGGGGAGGAAAAGCAAGGATGTAAGTTTGATGTAATAACAATAAAAATGGCTAATCAACCTGAACAGCCGGGTTCATTGCAGTTTCTGCTTCTTTCTCGACAAAGCGATCCTTTACTTGCACTGGTGATGAGCACCCATCCAGTGCATCAGTGAGTTGGCAGGGCATGCCTGCTTTCTTTGCTTGAGCACAAGTTCATTTTTATAGTTTCTGTCTGGAATTTGTAGGGTAGGTTGGAGAAGTAGGGCTCTCCAGGTCACCATAACTGGGCTCTTTGTGCAGCACTGTTTGACTTGGGTGTAGATTGGCACTGGATCAGCAGCACTAAGAGAAGTGGACTTACCTGCCCCTGGAAATATGACCCAGAAAGACGGGAGCAGGATGGTGTGAGCCGAGCGTGCAGGGGAAGAGGGAACACCCTCATATCAAGCAGAGACCTCCTCTCTCGGAAACTGTTTTCATCCTGCAGAAGGTAGATCTTGGATCCATCTGCTAGCCTTTTGGGAGTGGAAAGCTTGCGTGACTGTTGTCATGGGGGCACCTTGCCAAGACCTTGGGTCTTTTTCTCTGGACCATTTTGAGCAACGAGGCTGGATGGGCAAAAGAAGATTTCTCTGGGTAGGCGGTAGCAGATGGAATTTGCTTTCATGGCCTCATTTTGGGCTGGAGTAGTGTGTGCTCCCGGGTTGGATTGGCTCGCATCCTGGCCGGGTTACTGCCTCCGGTCACATTTCGTTTGGGTTTTGTTCATGAACCATCTGAAACAAAACCACCAGCTGTTAGTCTTTTCTTGTCCACACCACTGGCATGGCAGTCTGCCCATTCTTTCTCTCTGCTTGTGGCACAACATAGTCTGGAAGGATTTAGGGGAGAGTCTGTGGGGAGTTACTGTATAGAATGAACTGTGTTTTAAGCCCACCCTCTTAGACATAGCGCTTTCTCTTCCTTAAATCCTTAAATTCCTTAAATGTTGGCCGATTCCTGTGCTGTGGTTCTGGTATTTATTTAAAGTTAGGGTCTCACCTTTCCACTAAAATGGGTGCTTAGGGTGGCTAACAGTAAAATACAGATAAAATAACAGAATATTCAAACTCATCAACTAAAAACATATCCCACTAAAAACATCAAATAAAAACACACCAGTGAGAAGGGAAGGACAGCACTGACCAGACTGGAATCCACTGCAGCCCCATGTGTTTAAATACCAAAAGCCAGTCTGAATGAAAATGCCTCTGCCTGCCAGCCAAAGTTCAGACCCAGTGGAGTTAGCTTAGGTTCCCCTCGCAGAGCATCTTGGAGCTGGGAAGCTTCCATTCTCATTGTTCCTGTTTATTACAAGTACCAGCAGATGTATTTATACACGATTGTTACATAGAACGATTCAAGACAGAAGTGCTACTTGGGGAAATGTTCGGTTTTCTCATTGAGGGTGCAGTCCTGAATCTCTGCATCTTGAAGGAGGCAAGCCTATACATGTTTCAATAAGAAAAAGTTCTAAAGTTCTTCAATAACAGATCATATCTCACCTTTGTATTTGACTTCAGTATTATGCAGAATCCCATGGTGTCATCTACGTTATTGACTCTACTGATGAAGAAAGGCTTTCCGAATCCAAACGAGCTTTTGGTGAGTGTGCACAGAGTATTTCTGGAGTGGGTGTGTGGATGTGGTTCGATTCCAAAAAACCAAACAAACTACTTTGGAAAGAGCAAAACACATTCCTGGGTTTTTTCAGCTTAGCAAGTGTGCAAGCCAGCAATTAGGGAGTTTAGAGCTTCCCATGTAATGCTTCGAAGTAGCCCAAGCAAAGACCTGTTCTCACTTCTCACAATGTGGCTTCACTCAGGGAGCAGTTCTGTGCATCTTTACACAGAAATCATTCCTTGAACTCTCAGTATCCCCAGGCAGTCATCCATGCTGGTGAACTGGTTAGGTTGAGGCGTGGTTCGTTCAACACAGCTTTCTGAATTAGGCACAGCAGTTGCTAATTGCCCCTTCATGGATCACTGCCTTGTTGTGGCGAAGGGGCTTGCGTAGCTCAATGAAGCTATGAGCTATGCTGTGCAGGGCCACCCAAGATGGACAGGTCATAGCAGAGAGCTCTGACAAAACGTGATCCACTGGAGAAGGAAATGGCAACCCACTCCAGTACCCTTGCCATGAAAACCCCATGGACAGTACCAAAAGGCAAAAAGATATGACGCCGGAAGATGAGCCCCTCAGGTCAGAGGGTGTCCAATATGCCACTGGGGAAGAGCGGAGGGCTAGTACTAGTAGCACCAGAAAGAATGAAGTGACTGGGTCAAAGCCGAAAGGGCTCTCAGTTGCAGATGTATCTGGTGGTGAAAGGAGAGTCCGATGCTGCAAAGATCTATACTCCATAGGAACCTGGAATGTAAGATCCATGAATCAAGGCAAGCTGGACATGGTCAAACAAGAGATGACAAGACTGAACATCTACGTCTTAGGAATCAGCAAACTAAAATGGACAGCAATGGTGCATTTAATTCAGATAACCATCAGGTATATTACTATGGGCAAGAATTCCTCAGAGGAAATGGAGTAGCCTTCATAGTCAATAAAAGAGTAGGAAAAGCAGTACTGGGATACAATCTCCAAAATGACAGAATGATCTCAGTTTGAATCCAAGGCAAACCATTCAACATCGCAGTAGTTCAAGTCTATGTCCCAATGGTGCTGAAGAGGCTGAAGTTGACTGGTTCTATGAAGGCCTACAACGCCTTCTAGAATTAACACCAAAAAATGATGTCCTTATCATCATGGGAGACTGGAATGCTAAAGTAGGAAGCCAAAAGATAACCGGAATAACAGGCAAGTTTGGCCTTGGAGTACAAAATGAAGCAGGGCACAGGCTGGTAGAATTTTGTCAAGAGAATACGATGGTCGCAGCAAACGCTCTTTTCCAACAACCCAAGAGACGGCTCTACACATGGGCATCACCAGATGGTCAGCACAGAAATCAGATTGACTATGTGCTCTGCAGCCTAAGTAGGAGAATAGCTGAGGAAAGAAGGGAAGCGAAGGGAAAGAAGGGAAGCGAAAGGCAAGGGAGAAAGAGAAAGATTACAAACAATTGAATGCAGAATTCCAGAGAATAGCTAGAAGAGATAAGAATGCCTTCTTAAATGAACAGTGCAAAGAAATAGAAGAAAACAATAGAATAGGGAGGACCAGAGATCTCTTCAAGAAAATTGGAGATATGAAGGGACTGTTTCATGCAAAGATGGGCATGATAAAGGACCAAAATGGCAGGGACCTATCAGAGGCAGAAGAGATTAAGGAGAGGTGGCAAGATTAAATAGAAGAACTATACAAGAAAGAGCTTAACATCCCTGAGAACCACGATGGGGTGGTCACTGACCTCGAGCCAGACATCCTGGAATGTGAAGTCAAATGGGCCTTAGGAACTCTGAGCAACAACAAAGCTAGTGGAGGCGACAGTGTACCAGCCGAGCTATTCAAAATCCTAAAAGACAATGCAGTAAAAGTGCTACACTCAATATGCCAGCAAATTTGGAAAACTCAACAGTGGCCACAGAATTGGAAAAGGTCAGTTTACATTCCCATCCCAAAGAAGGGAATGCCAAAGAATGCTCAAACTACTGCACCATTGCACGCATTTCAAATACTGGCAAAATTATGCTCAAAATCCTACAAGCTAGGCTCCAGCAGTATGTGGACCGAGAACTACCAGAAGTACAGGCAGGATTTTGAAGAGACAGAGGAACTAGCAATCAAACTGCCAACATACGCTTGATCCAGTTGGAATTAAGATTGCTGGGAGAAATAACAACAACCTCAGATATGCAGATGATACCACTCTCATGGCAGAAAGTGAAAAGGAACTAAAGAGCCTCTTGATGCGTGGGAAGGAGGAGAGTGCAAAAGTTGGCCTGAAACTCAACATTAAGAAAAGTAAGATCATGGCATCCGGTCCTCTCACTTCCTGGCAAATAGTTGGGGAAGAAATGGAGATAGTGACAGATTTTATTTTCCTGGGCTCCAAGATCACCGCAGACAGGGACTGCAGCCAAGAAATTAAAAGGCGCTTGCTCCTGGGAAGGAAAGCTATGGCAAATTTAGACGGCATACTAAAAAGCAGGGACATCACCCTACCAATGAAAGTGCGTATAGTCAAGGCTATGGTTTTCCCAGTTGCAATGTATGGCTGTGAAAGTTGGACCATAAAGAAGGCTGAGCGTCAAAGGATTAAGGCCTTTGAATTGTGGTGCTGGAGGAGACTCTTGCGAGTCCCTTGGACTGCAAGGAGATCAAACCGGTCAGTCCTAGAGGAGATCAACCCTGACTGCTCTTGAGAAGGCCAGATCCTGAAGATGAAACTCAAATACTTTGGCCACCTCATGAGAAGGAAGGACTCCCTGGAGAAGAGCCTAATGCTGGGAACAATAGATGGCAAAAGAAGGAGGGGGCGGCAGAGGATGAGGTGGCTGGATGGAGTCACTGAAGCAGTCGGCGTGAGCTTAAGTGTTCTCTGGGGGTTGGTGGAGGACAGGAAGGCCTGGAGGAGTGTTGTCCATGGTGTCGCGATTTGTCAGACATGACTTTGCGACTAACAACAACAACAACAAAGTTGCTAATTTTCCTAGAACCCCTTCCTTTCCATTTTATTCCAGATGCTATTATTCCCAATGTGAAATGGGGGTAGTTTGACTCCAGAATGTCTGGTTGAGCAATTCCTAATTTTCCTAGAACTACTTCCTTTCCATTTTACTCCAGAAGGTATTACCATCCAGCATGCTGGAGCATGATGACTCCAGAATGTCTGATTCAGTAAAAGAGTGAATTATGTGCCATCTTTGCCCGTAATTCTCCATTGTCATCACATTTTCACTGTGACGCTCCTGAATTGGATCCCTGTTTTGGTCATCCAAATTCTCTCTTTCCTTGCATTTTCCTCACAGAAAGGGTGGTGACCAGTGAAGTTCTGGAAGGCGTTCCATTGTTGGTCCTGGCCAACAAACAGGATGTAGAGGTGAGCGTGTTACATACATAATTAGTGACCTCAGTTACCTGTATTTATGTATTTATAAGCCACTTTTCGTAGGCCTTCTAAGCCGCTCACAATATTGAAAACATTAAGACTAAAAACAACAGTAAAGCAGAATTCAGTGACATAAGAGCACAGCGTCTAAAAATAGTTTTAATAGTAACACAGAAGTCAAAAGCCAGATTTCCTTTTGAAAACTGTAGGAAGTGTTCATTGATTGTGTACTGTGTACTTTCACATTTGTGCCTGATTCTGTGACATCCTGTTGCTAGAAATAGATGGTGTGAACTTCATGTGTCACTAATTCCAGAAGTGTTTACCTAAAACACTTCTCTGTCGTGCCTTCTGTAAAGCCACAAAAGAATTCAGGGCTATTTTGGTTTTATATTGGCCTTCAGCATATGATCTTTTATAGGAAGAGAGTGATTTCCAGAGGTGCAGGTGCGAGTCTCTTGCATCATGCACAGTGGAGTCTTGTAGCACTGGGAGCCTGTGTGGTGTAGCGGTGAAGAGCCTGGGACCGGGACTTGGGCGATCCGGGTTCGAGTCCCTGCTCGGCCATGGAGCCAGCTGGGTGACTTTGGGCCAGTTACAGACTCTCAGCTCAACCGACCTCACAGGGTGGTTGTTGTGGGGATAAGATGGAGGATTATTATTATTATTATTATTATTATTATTATTATTATTATTATTACATTTCTATGCTGCCCCTTGCCGAAACCTCGGGGCGGCTTACAACACAATAAAATACATTGAAATACAATAGAACATAATAAATTACCATTAAATACAAAAATACAAAAAATACACTGAGATACAAACATGATAATATAAAATTAAAATTAACAGTATAAAATAAGTAAATAAAGAATATAGGAGGAGAAAAGAGAAGGAAGAAGAAGTTGCCCTGGCCAGATCATATATTTTAACAATTAAAATGATGTTTAAATAAAAAGGTCTTTACCTGGCGCCGAAAAACCAGTAATGACGGTGCCAGGCGGACCTCTTTGGGGAGTGAATTCCATAGGTTGGGCGCCGCCGCAGAGAAAGCCCTCCTCCGAGTACTTACTCTCCTAATTTCTTTCATGGACGGTTCCCGGAGAAGGGACTCAAGCTGCCTTGAGCCCTTTGTCGGAAAAAGGCAGGATATAAAGCTGCCCCGAGGCTCTTTGCGAATGGGGCGGCATAGAAATGTTTTAAAGAAATGAATAAATATCTGTCTCAAAGAGGAAGGCCAAGATCTCTTCATGCTGATACCAGAGCAAGGGACACGGAATAATCCATGCAAGTTGTGACAGACCAGCTCGGTATTAGGAAAAGCTTCCTCACTGTCAGAGCGACATGGCAGTGGAACCAGCTGCGCAAAAGAGAGGTGGCGAGCTGTCTCATTCAAGGTCTGACTGAGTGCGATGGTGTGGCTTGGTGTCCTGCAAGAGCTGGGGGTTGGATCCATTCCGATTCTACCATTCCGTAATTCATAGACGGGACAGTCATCTGAGAGGAATCGTGTGACTCGGTATCTTTCACCAGCAGCGGGTTGGACTGGCTGCCTTTCTTGGCCCCTTCCTTCTCTCCTTTTCCACGATTCTACGATTCCTGTTTGGTCTTCCTCTTCTGCCTTCAGCTTTCCCTAGCATGATGGTCTTCTGCAGTGAGTCTTGCCTTCTCATGAAGTATGACAGCCTTGCTTTTTTCAATTTTGCTTCCTGGAAAAGTTCTGGCATGATGTGAGCCACTTGCTTCTCTGTTTCTTAGTCCAGGAAAGCAAAGCTCTCTTCCAACATCGCGTTTTGAATGCATCAGTTTGCTTCCAGTCAGTGTTCTTTGCTGCCAGCTTTCATAGCAATTCAGAATGCAGAAACCTCAGTGATCTGTTCCTTGGTCCCAATAAAATAGCCTCATGCTTCATATTATTTCTATTTCCTCCATTGCTTCCCTTCCAAGTTTCAGTCTTCTTTGAATTTATTGGCTGAGGTCTTTATTTGAATTGCTGATTGCACCAAAGTATGCAAAATCATTTACCATTTCAGTTTCTTTATTGTGGACATTTATCTTGAGTCATTCTTCTGGAATCTTTTTTTTTCCTTAACGTTCACTTGCAGTTTTGCTTTTGGACTTTCCTCTTTCACTTTCATCAGGAGTTGTTTCCAGTCATTGCTGCTTTCTACCAGGAATATGGAAACATCAGCATATCTTAAATTATTGATGTATCTTCTGCCAAATTTCACTCCTGATTTCTCTGATTCGAATCCAGATTTCCTTATCGTGTATTCTACATGCAGATTGAATAAATAGGGAGGTAAAATGGACCCTTGTCTGAAGTCTTTGCTTATAGGAAAATGTTTTGTTTTTCCATAATCTTTCCTAACAGTCCTGTCCCTGGTATAGGTTATGCCTACACTTTCAGAAGCAACCATAGCATCCCATGATTCACACAGTCAGAAGCTTTGTTGTAGTCAATAAAACATAGAATGATCGTCTTCTGAAATTCTTTGGTGTGTTCCAGTAGCCAGTGTATATTTGCAATATGATCTCAACTACCATTTTGAAATCCAGGTTGAGCATCAGGAATTTCTTGCTCCGTATAGCATAAGCCTCTTTATCATAACACCTTGAGCATCACTTCATTTACATGGCAAAACTATTGCAATGATTCTTGCAAAATGGAATATATATCAAGCATTTCCAGTCTGTGGGCCATTGTTTTGCCTTCCGTTTTTATTGGTGTATTCAATCTGATTTGGTGTCTACAGCTTGGAATAGTTCTATTGATACCCTGTTTACTCCCAACTATTTTATTCCTTTCAAGTACTTTCAGGGCATCTTTGACTTTACTTTCTGATATTGCCAGTTGTTCTTCATAGGATGTCTGCCATCTTTTCTTTTCTCCTGGGTATTTCTTCTGCATATTGCTTCCAAATTTTCTGTATTTTCACCTGCTCAGATGGTATGTCCCTCTGTCTGTCTTTTCTCTGTTTGTCTTTCATATTCTGTTTCTTTATATTTTGCCCAATACTGGGAGTCATGTGGCTCACATTATTAAACACTTAGTAAATTAAAACATGCTAGCATAACAGAAATATAGTTTGTTGTTTACTCACAAAGTCATGCCTGACCCATCACAACCCCATGAACAACATTCCTCCAGGCCTTCCTGTCCTCCACCATCCCCCGGAGTCCACTCAAGCTCACACCAACTGCTTCAGTGACTCCATCCGGCTACCTCATTCTCTGCCGTCCCCGCCTTCTTTTGCCATCTATTGTTTCCAGCATTAGGCTCTTCTCCAGGGAGTCCTTCCTTCTCATTAGGTGGCCAAAGTACTTGAGTTTCATCTTCAGGATCTGGCCTTCTAAAGAGCAGTCAGGGTTGATCTCTTCTAGGACTGACCGGTTTGATCGCCTTGCAGTCCAAGGGACTCGCAGGAGTCTCCTCCAGCACCACAATTCAAAGGCCTCAATCCTTTTGTGCTCACCCTTCCTTATGGTCCAGCTCTCACAGCCATACATTGCAACTGGGACAACCATCGCCTTGACTATAAACACTTTTGTTGGCAGGGTGATGTCTCTGCTTTTAGTATGCTGTCTAGATTTGCCTTAGCTTTCCTCCCGAGGAACAAGTGTCTTTTAATATCTTGGCTGCAGTCACCGTCTGCGGTGATCTTGGAGCCCAGGAAAATAAAATCTGTCACTACCTCCATTTCTTCCCCATCTATTTGCCAGGAAGTGAGAGGACCGGATGCCATGATCTTAGTTTTCTTAATGTTGAGCTTCAGGCCAACTTTTGCGCTCTCCACCTTCACCCGCATCAAGAGGCTCTTTAATTCCTCTTCACTTTCTGCCATGAGAGTGGTATCATCTGCATATCTGAGGTTGTTGATATTTCTCCCAGCAATCTTAATTCCAACTGGTGATTCATCTAGGCCCGCCTTTCTCATGACATGCTCTGCATATAAGTTAAATAAGCAGGGTGACAGCATACAGCATTGCCAAACTCCTTTCTCAAATTTGAGCCAGACAATGGTTCCATGCCCAGTTCTAACTGTTGCTTCTTGACCCACATATAGGTTTCTCAAGAGACAAATAAGATGGGCAGGTACTCCCATCTCTTTAAGAACTTGCCACAATTTGTTGTGATCCACACAAGCAAAGGCTTTAGCAGTCAATGAAGCAGAAGTAGATGTTTTTCTGGAACTCCCTAGCTTTCTCCATGATCCAGCGTATGTTGGCAATTTGATCGCTAGTTCCTCTCCCTCTTCGAAATCCTGCCTGTACTTCTGGTAGTTCTTGGTCCACATACTGCTGGAGCCTAGCTTGTAGGATTCTGAGCATAACTTTGCGAGCATGTGAAATGAGTGCAGTGGTGCAGTCGTTTGAACATTCTTTGGCATTACCCTTCTTTGGGATGGGAATGTAAACTGACCTTTTCCTATCCTGTTTTCCAGAAAACACTGTTGAGTTTTCCAGATTTGCTGGCATGTTGAGTGTAGCACTTTTACTGCATCGTCTTTTAGGATTTTGAATAGCTCAGCTGGAATACTGTCACCTCCACTAGCTTTGTTGTTGCTCAGACTTCCTAAGGCCCATTTGACTTCACATTCCAGGATGTCTGGCTCAAGGTCAGTGACCACCCCATCGTGGTTATCAGGGACGTTAAGCTCTTTCTTGTATAGTTCTTCTGTGTAATCTTGCCATCTCTTCTTAATCTCTTCTGCCTCTGATAGGTCCCTGCCATTTTGGTCCTTTATCATGCCTATCTTTACATGAAACGTTCCCTTTGTATCTCCAATTACCTTGAAGAGATCTCTGGTCCTCCCTATTCTATTGTTTTCTTCTATTTCTTTGCACTGTTCATTTAAGAAGGCATTCTTATCTCTGCTAGTTATTCTCTGGAATTCTGCATTCAATTGGTGTATCTTTCCTTTTCTCCCTTGTCTTTTGCTTCCCTTCTTTCCTCAGCTATTTGTAAAGCTTCCTTAGACAGCCAT